TCTCACGCTTGAGGTATTCGGCTAATCACAACGCACTGGATAGCTGGCTAATCAGAGCACACCTCGCTTTTCAGACTGATGAGCTTTGTAAAAATCGACGCGTTTCAAAAAGGCGGGGCATAGAGGAGAAACAATAATGTACAGTATGTGGAAAATAATGTGTTTTTTTAACTTTAAACCGCATAAACACATTTCATTACACCAAATACACAAAATAATGTTCTTTTTAGCAGCATCATATGACCCCTTTAAATTTAACTGCCTTTATTGCCAAAGATAATAATTAAATTATTAAAAAATGTTAAATAAATAAATAATTTTAAAATATCTAAATGAAAAAGCTTTTTTAAAAGCTGAAATATTTGATTGGCTTTAATGTGTGTTATTTTAGTATTATATACCATTTTATTTTTGTTAATATTTTGAAGTGCTTTTATTTTTATATTATTATTTCCATTTAAGTTTTAGTAATTTTCTCATGCTTTTGTCATTTTTATTAGTTTATATACACATACACACACACACACATTACTGTTTTTTTTTTCAGTTAGTGATTTTAGTATTTCATGTATTATTTATATTTTATTTTATTAAGAACTTTTGTTCATTTTAATAGTTTTAGTTTAACACAAACACCCTGATGTGACCATGAACTGACTGATCAGAGAACTGTGAACATGTGAATGTGTTGTTCAAATATTGAAATATCGGGGGACTTTGAGTAAATATTTTACAAATTGAGTTCAGCTGACCAAAACGTTGGGAGTCTCTGTTGTATGAACTATTTGTGATCAACATTTCTCTCTTCTGTCTATCTACAGCTGATGACTTCCGTGATCATCTGTCCGCTCCTCTAGCTGGAGGTCTAGATGCTGCACCCGACAGAGAAGATAAAGATGATTTCATGGACTTACAGATAGTCAAATACTATGATAATGAGGTGAGGAGACAGTATTTTGCTTCTCAGTGGAACAAAAAAACTGCACCACGATATTCCACATGACATGAAGGAATCACTCTCTTCCCACAGGTGAAGACAGAGGCATCATGGGACTGCACCGTTCATGACAGTCCTGAGCTGAATCGAGTGACGGGGCCGGATCACAGGATTTACCTCACAGTCCGCACCATGGTTCTGCTCAGTCATCCCGCACAAATGCAGCTGGTCCTGCGCAAGTGCATCTGCGTGAACCTCACCGGACGACAGGTGTGACACTTAAAGGTTTAGTTCACCCAAAAATGAAAGTTCTGTCATTAATTACTCACCCTTGTGTTGTTCGAAACCCGTAAGACCTTCGTTCATCTTCGGAACACAATTTAAGATATTTTTGATGAAATCTGAGGGCTCTCTGACCCTCCCATAGACAGCAAGGTAACTACCACGTTCAAGGTCCAGAAAAGTACCAAGATGATCGACAAAGTAGTCCGTGTGACAACAGTGGTTCAACTGTAAAGTTACGAAGCTACGAGAATACTTTTTTTGCGCAAAGAAAACAAAAATAACGACTTTATTCCACATTTTCGTCTCTACTGCGTCACTTGTGGACGCGCGTTCACGACAGTATCATGACGCGAGATCTGGGTCAGCGCCGCCACACGCTTGCGTCATGGTCAAGTGACGCAGTAGAGACGAAAATGTGGAATAAAGTCGTTTGCGCAAAAAAGTATTCTCGTAACTTCGTAACTTTACAGTTGAACCACTGATGTCACACGGACTACTTTGTCGATCATCTTGGTACTTTTCTGGACCTTGAACGTGGTAGTTACCTTGCTGTCTATGGGAGGGTCAGAGAGCCCTCAGATTTCATCAAAAATATCTTAAATTGTGTTCCGAAGATGAACGAAGGTCTTACGGGTTTCGAACAACATGAGGGTGAGTAATTAATGACAGAATTTTCATTTTGGGGTGAACTAACCCTTTAATGTGCGTGACTCGACTGATGGGGTTATTTTTGTGTTTTTTATTGAGTGCTCTTTCATCGATCGGATCTCTTCCTGCAGGGCTTTGCTCAAAGTCTGCTGAGGAGAATGTCTCACCGCAGCTCGATTCACAGCTGTGGAGTCACGTTTGAGATCGTCTCAAATATCCCAGGGGTACGTGAAGAGCAACACGATCTTTTCTTGTTTGAGCAATGTGAATTTTTTTATACTATACATTAGTGTTCAGAAGTTTGAGGTCTGTAAGATTTATTTTTTAATGTTTTTGATAGAAGTCTCTTATGCTCATCAGGACTGCATTTATTTGAGAAAAAAAAAGTAATATTGTGAAATATTATTGCAATTTAAAATAGGTGTTTTCCATTTGAATATATTGTAAAATGTCATTTATTTCTGTGATCAAAGCTGAATTTTCAGCATCATTACTCCAGTCTTCAGTGTCACATGATCCTTCAGATATCATTCTGATATGCTGATTTGCTGCTCAAGAAACATTTCTGATTATTATCAGTGTTGATTCTTTGATGAATGTGAAATGCAAAAGAACAGCATTTATTTGAAATAAAGTCTTTTGTAACATTATAAATGGATTTACTGTCACTTTTGGTGCATCCTTGCTGAATAGAAGAATAATTATTTCTTTCAAAAAAATCCTACTGACCCCAAACTTTTGAACGGCACTGTACAGAAGTCTGTGAGAAACAGGTAACAGAAGCAGGTGTGTGCATTTGTTGACAGGACATTCAGAGCTCAGAGGACAGAGAGATGCTCGCCCGACTGGCCGCCAGCACCGACAACCCAGGAGCCGACAGTGAAGCCGCCATCGAGAAATACCTGCGGAGTGTGTTAGCAGTAGACAACATCCTCACGCTGGACCGTCTCAGACAGGTCTGACACACTGTGTCTGCTTTATATATATGCCTAAATAAGAATAGAAATGCTTTGTTTTTTGCGGTGTACACGTGTCATCTTTGTATTTTTTGTGAATTCAGGAGGTTTCGGTGAGGGAGCATCTATCAGATAAAGGAAAGATTCCCAAACGCTGCCTCAGTTCACCAAATGTACACCGGGTAAGACATAAACAATATCTCTGAGCAAAACTGCATCATCTAAATCAGCTCAGACCTAATCCAGAAATGAAACCCAATCTGTTTATTTTTCAGCTCTCTGGCAGCAGGAAAGATCTGTCCACCAGCCAAGACTCAGAAGACAATAAAGTGAGAAAACACACCTTAAATAGTGGCGTAACAGTTTAGATTTCCTATAGTTTGGTTCGTGTCTCAGTTCGGTAAATACTTAGTACGCCACTGTTTTGGGAAACCACTCATAACAAGCAATGATTTACAGAGCTGGGTAGATTACTTACAAATTATAGTTCGTTACTGATTCCAAATTACATTACAAAAATTGTAGTTAGTAATATAATCCATTACATTACATATTTTAGGTAATCAGACTACATTTTGATTACTTTTAGATTACTCATTTAACACATTGATTTAAATAGAATAATATTGTACCATATTGATATTAAAATGCAAAGTAATATATTCCATTCGTTGGTATTAACAACATAAAGTGAATTAAGCACTAAATTTCAGGGTTTCCCAAACTGGGGTTCTTGAAGGAACTGCAGTTTAATGAAAAGCTAATAATTAATTAAGTCATAAAAATGTCAAATTAAAATAAATCATTTTAAAATAACATCAACGTAGAAAATGAAATATTTTGTTAACCTGCATGTCATGTTGGCATTTTAGAAAGAAAAATGTAAAAGATGAAAAAGAATTAGGGAGAATCAATAAATTATGAATAAATTATTTATATTGTGTAAATATAGGTAAAATGTAACTAGTCTGATTACAAGTATTTTAAAATGTAATTTAATCTATATACAAGTACTTAATTTTTGGAAACTGATTACGAAATCCAGATTTCATGTAATCAATTACTACCCAGATCTGATGATTTATTACTGGGATCACTCGGTAACATCCAGTATACTCAGATTTGTACAGTATTTGCATCGTTTCATTTTCAGGTTCATTTTATTACTTAGAACACCTAAGGATAAAAACCTTAGCAACACCCTAGCAACCACTTATAATACCATAGCAACATAAAAATGCTTAGAACACCTTAGCAACGCCCTAGTAACCACTCATAATACCATTGCAATTGCAAAGTAACATAACTAAAATACTCAGAACACCTTAGCAGCACCCCAGCAACCAGCCTAAACTCTCTAGTTCCCTTTCATTTACTGTCCATTCAGATGTTCAGCTTGTTTACTGACGGTTTCTTGTCTGTGCTTTGATGTTCTGTAGGGTGGTTGGGACAGTCGGCAGGAGATTTCTGTGCTAACATCAGCCACGAAGAGCCCATCTCACTCGGCGTCGGTACAAAACCAAAACTCAGAGCCAGGTAACTGTCCTCATCCTCTTCTGCTGTCCACCTTCCCCTCCACAGGTAAGACTGAGCTTACATTACCTGATGGAGTTTGACTTTACTCCAGAGTTTGGCTGTCTAACATGACAACAGCAACAAACAAAAAAAACAGCAAAAATAATACTCGGAATACCTTAGAAACACCCTGGCAACCACCCAGAACACTATAACCACATAAAAACAGTGAGTGCACCTTAGCAACACCCTAGCAACAATTCAGAACACTATAGCAACATGATAAAAACACTCAAAACACCTTAGCAACACCCTAGAGCACACAGTGACACATAGCCACATAGTGACATTGTCAAAAAATACTTGGAACACCTTAGCAATGCCCTAGCAACCACTCATAATACCACAGCAATTGCATAACAACAGAAAACACTTAGAACACCTTAGCAACACCCTAGCAACCACTCAATACCACTGCAACAATATACAAATGATAAAACACTTTAGCAACACCCTAGCAACCACTCATAATACAACTGCAACTTCAAAGTAACATGATTAAAATACTCAGAACACCTCAGTGACACCCTAGCAACCATTCAGAACACCATAACAACATAACAGCACTGAGATCACCTTAGCAACTCCCGATCAACAATTCAGAACAATATAGCAACATGATAAATATGCTCAGAATACCATAGCAACACCCTAGCAAACATTCAAAACACCTTAGCAACATAGTAAAAACACTCAGAACACCTTAGCAACACCCTAGCAACCACATAGCTACATTGTTAAAAATACTTGGAACACCTTAGCAATGCCCTAGCAACCACTCATAATACCACAGCAATTGCATAGCAACATAAAACACTTAAAACATCTTAGCCACACCCTAGCAACCACTCATAATACCACTGAAACTGAAAAAAATAAAACACTCAAAATACCTTAGCAACCACTCATAATACCACTGCAACTTCAAAGTAACATGATTAAAATACTCAGAACACCTTGGCAACTCCCTAGCAATTGAGAACACTATAGCAACATGGAAAAGATGCTCAGAACACTTTAGCGGCACCCTAACAACCACATAGCATCATTAAAAATACTGGGAACACCTTAACAACACCCTAGCAACCACTCCTAGTACAACAGCAACTGTATACAAATATGAAAAAACACTCAGAATACCTTAGTAACACCCTAGCAACCACTCATAATACCACAGCAGTTGCATAGCAACATAAAAACACTTAGAACGCCTTAGCAACACCCTAGCAACCACTTGTAATACTACAGCAACTGCAAAGCAACATAAAACACTTAAAACATCTTAGCACTGCCGTAGCAACCACTTACAATACCACTGCAACTGTGTACAAATGATAAAACACTCAAAATACTAGGGGTGTCCCCGACTAGGATTTTCATAGCCGAATCGGAATTTTCGAATCTTGCCGATATTCAACTGATAGTCGAATCATATGTTTTGGGGGCGGGGCAAAATACATTACCAAGAGTCAAGTCAGACATTCGACAGTCATAATTACGTTAACACACAGGGAAAATGTGTAACGGATGCCTCGCAGATACAAACGGGGTAAATAATGTTTTATGTTTTGAAACGTCAGCGAAACCCTAAGAATTCACAAATTTTTTTACAATAGTGCTCTCATTAGAACATTATGTAATATGACAGTAGTTCTGCATTTCTGTTTTGAGCTGCGCGCGCTGAAGATGACCAGTAGAATGAAGCAGCAGGTTTTTAATCAATGGGATTTAACTCATCATTAATCTCATATAGAATACGCTTCATTATTTATACAACATAACTTTAATATTATGACTTATAGGCTATCTGCACAAAATGCCCCGAATGCACGAATGTGTCTGTGCGGCTCTGAATGAACTCCTTTTGTGGATGTGTTCTCCTGAACGCCTACATGATCGAAAAAATCCAATCTTTCACTCTGCCTGTGTCAATTTGAGTCTTGTTAAGGTTTTAAATCCCTGCCGCCAAGATGCTCCTCTGTCGGTCACGGATTATGGAAAGTGAAACTTAAATCTATAGGGGTGGTTGGATTTATTCACGCTCGTTAAAATATTTATTTGAAGCTTCTTTCTTTTCAGATTCTTATTTACAGCATTATTTTAATAGGCTGTATATTAACTTATTGGGAGAAAACCAGTAATTCTATGTGAAATCAGACATTTGAGCACCCCATATAGCCAAAATGGCATGATCATAACACCCCACGAATATTCGACTGTGAGACTTGTAGTCGAATCAGGCTCCTCCTATCAAAGCATCAAATCTTCGACTATTCGGGGTCACTCCTACAAAATACCTTAGCAACACTTTAGCGACCACTCATGATATCACTGCAACTTCAAAGTAACATAATACTCAGTACACCTTAGCAACACCCTAGCAACCAGCCACATATTTCTAACACCTTGTCACCAAGCACCACTTTTCTTCAGATAAGTTATTGAAAGCTGTAACTGATTGCTAGTACCCTTGACCTGCTGGCCTGTGCATTAACTCAGCACTCCATGGCGCTTATTAAAGGTTTGTGTTTGCAGCAGTTGTTTGGTGCATGTCGTCAATGTGCAATAAAGTAAAACTGTTCAGTAAAAAGTGTATGCGGTTCTTTTGATCGCTGTGCTCTGTTTGGAGGCGCTGATCCGCTTATGTAGTTTTGTTTTTGCTTTATTCATGCTTTGCGCTTTTTTTTAACTCACATGGGTTCCCTGCTCTTTTCTCTTCTGCCTTTCTTCTGTCCTTCCATCTTTCTCTCCTCTGCTGCTCCTCAAACCCGTGTTCCTGCAGGTCTCTCAGGATTTGCTGCATCTTATTTCTCCCCAGTGAAAGCTCTAGTGTCTCCAGTACCCAAGATGTTCAAGTCTCTGTTGTCCAAGAAAGAGGAGAAGAAAGAGACGCCCCCTCCTGCTGCCTTTGAGCAGGTAACAAAACCTGCTGTGGCTCTAAAATATACTTCACAAAACATTTCTAGATTTAGAAAAGCATAATATAGTATTATCACTGCACAGTGTACCAATCTGTGATTAGCATACAATGTCCTGGACTTATAAATTTAGAGTTCATGGTTATGTCTCATCTGTATTGAAATGATTAATGTTTTTACTATAGTAAAATAAAATGAAATATAGAATTTTTTTAACCCAGAAAAATAATTGCAACATTCATCAAGTTGCAAAATGTATGGCAAATGTGTGGTATTCCTGGTAAAATTCTGATATTTTTAAAACTATTTTCATCTATTTCAACTAGAATGTGCCACGTATTGTTGTTCAGTCTGTCAGTCTTGAAGACATCAACAGCTATGAACTGGTAAGTCTGTACAGTCTGTCTGTTCAATTTTATATATTTTTTTATTTATATAAATAAATTTTGTATAATATTTGTATCTTTTTGAATAGTAATAAAAAAATTTTTTATGTTTTAATGTTTATATAAAAAGCCATGTTTGATCTTTTATTTTGAAGACTCCACAGGCTCCTTCAAAATACATATTTCCCATATTTCCGGTTATTCCTGATAAAGTAGAGACCACTGAAGCATCCACCATATCCTCAGAAACCACGTCTGACATCCAGATAGTAAGTCTACATGTATTATAGGCTACTCCTTATTAGTATTGTGAACAGTATCTGGTGATGTGGTGTAGCGGGTAACATAAAAGTTGGTTTTAATACTGTGTATATTATTACTTACCTTGATCTTTATGATCTCTTCAGAGCCATGCTATGGAAACTCCAATCTCAGAGAATCCAGAGAATGTTAAGGAGATTCTGTTGCCTCACCTTCCTCAAGAAGTTAAAGAAGTTCCAACTCTTTCTGTTCCTCCAGTGGTTGAGGAAGTTCTACCATCTAATCTTTCTCCAGAAGTTGAGGTTCCACCTCCTAATCGTTCTTCAGAGGTTGAGGAGGTTCTACCTCTATCTGTTCCACAAGTGATTGAGGAAGTTCTACCATCTAATCTTTCTTCAGATGTTGAGGTTCCACCTCCTAATCGTTCTTCAGAGGTTGAGGAGGTTCTACATCCATCTGTTCCTCAAGTGATTGAGGAAGTTCTACCATCTAATCTTTCTTCAGAAGTTGAGGAGGTTCTATCTCCATCTGTTCCTCCAGTGGTTGATGAAGTTCTAGCTCCTAATCTTTCTCCAGAGGCTGAGGAAGTTCTATCTCCATCCGTTTCTGCAGAAGTCAGAAAGGTTCCACCTCTTCCTGCTTCTTCAGCAGTCAAAGAGTCTCTACTTCCTATGGTTCCATCTGAGATTAATGAGGTTCCACCTCCTGCTTCTGTAGAGGTTGAATACCCCAAGCAAAGCCCAGTTGGTGATTCAACAAACAGCTCCATCAGCGATGTCTCAAGTGGATACATCTCCACAAGTGTCTCCACAGCGACTCTCTCGGAGTGTGCGGTCTCGAATGTTGACCCTCCTCTCCTTGAAAGCACAGAGGCCAAAATAGACTCTACTTTCAAAACGACTGAACCTAAAACAGATTTTGTGCCAACAACCAGCACATGCCCAGAGCATCAGTCAAAACTTGAACCAGCTGACCTAGAACTTGGAAAACGGGCACCTACAGAATCCCAGACATCAGAAGAACATGGTCAAGTGTCTCCTCTAGATACATCTCCTCAAAAACTCCTCAGTGTTTCTGATTCCTTACCTCAAGAAACCTCTGAAGTCAACGTCTCTTCATCTTGTTCAGCCACATCAGTACCATCTACACCACTGGCACTACCAGCTGCCTCAAAAGCAACTGATCCGTCAGTTCCAGTCAAGACAGCTAAGCCATCAACACCTGACCAGCAATCAAGACCTGAACAAAACGTCAAACCCACTCCTGCTCCCACCTCCAACCCTTTCCAGATCCACAGAGTCAAGACCTCCGGCCTTAAGTCTTTCAAAGGGATCGTGCATGAAGAAGATGTAGAGGGCAAAACTAAACTCGGTAACTCTTTATCTTCACTGAGTGAGTCTCAAGAAAGACTGGAGATCCTTTCAGATTCAGAAGAAAGCCTTGAGACTCCCGACTGGCTGAAAGAGGGGGAATATGTGACTGTGGGCACAAATAAAACTGGAACAGTCCGTTATGTTGGACCGACTGACTTTGCAAAGGGCGTTTGGATTGGAGTGGAACTTGATGTTCCAGCAGGTTGGTAATGCTCTTTAACTTCAGTAGATCAATTTATCAGTAGAGTCAATACTACCGGCATGCATATCAGATTCCAGTCATTGAAAAGGACTTGCAACCCATTGACCATGGACAATGGATTTGCAAATATTGTTTGTAAGGAGCATTTGCATGGATAACTTGAAGTCAGTAGATCTAGAGAACACTGTGTGCAATACCACCTTCTTGCTGTACTGGCCAGGGCTGCATTTCCCAAAAGCATCGTAAGCCTAAATTGGCTTCCAATGGCAATTCCAGTTGGTGCCAATGGCTTCTACGATCTACTTAGGCTCATGATGCTTTTGGGAGATGCAGCTCTGGTCCCAGGTGTTACATGTTGTGGACTTGGGGTTTTGTAGGATTCAAAATGGTACTCCCTAGTGCCTTTTTAAAAAAAATTATCAATGGACCATTGATTAGCAATGGTTCTCTTCTCGTATCTGCCTCCAAAAATTGATGCTCTTATTCTTTTTTAGATAAAAACGATGGTTTAGACTTGTGGATGTGTGTGATTCAAAATGGCGCTCACTAGTGCCTTTTTACAAAATTTGCACTTGCATAGACTTCATAGTGGTCCACTAACCAACGTTTTCAATTACGAGAAATGATGTCTAATCCCATGATGGACCATTGATTGAAAAATATTCTCCTGTCATATGCACCACCAGATAATTATGCTCTTCTTCATTTCTAGGTACAAACAATGTGGTTTTAGATTCAAAATGGTTCTCATTAGGCCCTTTTTACGAAATGTACACTTGCCTATACTTAAAAGCAGTCCACTAACGAATTAACCCAATTATTTAAAATAACGTCTAATACCATGATCAATGGACCATTGATTTGCAAATGTTCTCCTCTCGTATGCACCACCAAACTATTTTGCTTGTCTTAATTTCTAGGTAAAAATCGTTTTTACCTAGAAATTAAGACAAGCAAAATTGTTTGTACCGGCGGGTACCGCTAAACGGTCGAGGCAGAAACGCAAGCAGAACCTCTCAGGATCTAGTCCCAACCTGGCAGCCCTTACAGCGATGGCCAAAGGAGAAGCTGGAGCACGCAAGGGTGAAAACAGGAAGTCTTGGGTTAGCTGAGGACAATGCATCCTTGTTGATGGACGTGTACGGAGGACAGTATTGGTATGGCACTGAAACACTACACTGATACTTGCAGGGATGTAACTGCCATCTGATTTACTAATGCATATCTGCACTACATAGTGCTTATAGTGTTCGAAAAACCTGTTTCAATCCTCAGTAAGCAGTATTTTTGGTATTATTCTTTTTAAAAATGTTTTTTAATAACACAAAGTGCCCCGTTTACTTGAAGCCAGTGTCAGGGAGTATGTGCATGTGGATGTTCTCTAAAAAAAATCAGGATACTGATGGATTCACTTGAGTGCTTCATTTCATGATTTTACATACAGTAGGTGAAGGTGGGATGGGTTTTACTTGTGGAGATTAAAAGTGCCAGACAGTTTTATTCATAAATGAATGTTTTTAGTGTTATTATGGTGAGTTAGTTCTGTATTTTCTGTTGGTTTGGTACCTTTGTATTATTGTTTTTTCTTTTTTTCTTGAATGAGTAATTTATGATCAAATTGTTGTTTATTTATTTATTTGCAGATCAAAGTAATGACAAAAAATAATAATGTTGAAGATTTTATATTGCAACGGTGAGCGTAATAAACTTTATTATTTTATTATCTTGCCTTGTTATACACGTCAAACTCTTAAAAGAATAATATCACACGGTTGATCTTCAATATACCTTTATTTTCCAGAAGATAAAGTACTAAAATAAACACAAGTTTTAAAAAAAGTCATTTTAAACAAAGAAACTGTACAAAAAGTTCATATATACTATAGTATACTTACAGAACAGTCTACTGTCCAAAAAAGGCACTAAATTCTTAAATGGGAGATACATATGTTTCACAACAGAATGCTTTGAAATCATAGAATTATTTGATTCAAACAATCTTTAAATTCATAGTTACGGTCTTCTGTTTCTTTATACAGTTGCTTTTATAAGCCTATAGGTTTTTTGTTTATAGACATGAAAATGCACTCTGAGGAACTAAATGGAAAGCACCCCCTTTGAACCAGCAGGGTCACTGTTCATTGCTCTGGAATAAAACACTTGAGGCAACAGAACGAGTCATTTGTAGAATCTGTATGTCGCTTTGAGATCATGTAAATGTCAATACTTGACATCATACTGCAGTTTGGCACATTCTGTCATGTGTACCAAGAGGCTGTAATGACACACATACACGGACAATTGAACACATCTGAACATTACAGCATTAGAAAATGACCTTTTTTGTGTATCGCTGCAATGTTTAAATGTAACAAACTTATAGTACAAAACAAATGTGGCAAATAAAGTAGCATGTTTCTTGAGTGAAGGGGGTGCTCAGGAGACTGCTCTGAACGTGAAACATAAAAACGGTGTAAAACAATCAAATAAAAAAGAATCTTGAATTATTATTGAACAAAAATTGTCATTTCATAAATATCAGTTGTACACAGGAAGATATAGGAGAAAGGATACATAAAAAACTGGCCTTCATTCATGACACGGACCGAACCAATTTCTGTTTAGCTGTTTGTAAAACCATTCTTATGTAATTTGTCACTTTATGTGTAAGTGTTGCATTGAGTTTGTGATCATTAATGTAAGAATGGCTCTACGAATCATTCGTTCTGCTCGTTTCAATGAATGAAGCCCAGCGAGAGAATAAAGTTCTTTTAGAACATTTTTTTTAAATAAAAAAAAAAAAAAGCTACATTTTGGAACCAAGCTTATGTTAGATGAGAGTTCAGACTCTCGAAGCTCTGTGGCAGCAGAACAAACATTTATCAGTCAGTCTCTCGTGAACAATTAACACTGTGAAATTCTGATGTCATTCCACAATAATAATAAAGCTTCGTGTAAGTTTGCACGTTATAATTCTTAACTTGAGCCAAAATTTGAGTGGAATGATATTTCACGTTAACGTATTTAATTCTAAACACGATGAGAGCAGATGCTTCAGTCTTGACACTTTGTGTGAAATCTTTGCATGTAAATCAAACGTAAAAGCTAAATAAATACAAACATAAGAATAGCGCTTTAATGCAGATTCACTTTGGGTAATGCTGGACACTTAACGGTTTAAAATAAAGAAAGCTAGCTGTCTTGCAGGTTCATTTAGAGTCCAGGAGACTTGAGCTTTTGCGGTTATGTGACCACATCAAGTTTCACTACAATTATAATTCACCCCCTCCCCTCCCATTTGAACATGATTCAAATCTAAATACAGTATAATGCAATTGGATAAATCTCACTATAAATCCAGGTTAAATTTCATCCACAAACCAAAAGGAAAATAATATGAAATTATATTTTGCATTTTGAAGATATTTTTATGGCATCATAGCAATTATGCACATTTTCCCTTAAAGGGGTCATAGGATGCCCATTTCACTCAGGGCGGAGCTAAGGTAAGACACCAGTCCAGTCTGTGCTGGAACGCTACTGTCAATGAAACTATCGTGGGAGGGGCCTGTCTGTGTGACATCACACAGACACGCATCTGAGATCGGCTCGATTTGAGAAAGGGGTAAAGATTTTATAGATTAACAAAAAAACCACTGGGTGGATTTTTATCATTTTAGGGTGGTTGTGTACACACACTGCCAACACACATTTCAGTTCAAACAACTTGTAAAAGTGTATGTAGCATTATATGACCCCTTTAAAATATTATTTTAATATTTTTTTAAATTATTATTTTTCAAGTCAGAATACAGTATGTTTAAGACCATAAACGCTTACAATTTTCAACATTTTTGGAGAGGAAAATGTGTTTTAAAATCTGCCAAAAAAAACTCTACAGTCTCTAAAATATTTATTTTATGCAAAATATATTAATTTCTCTTTCACTTTGTGGTGAAATGTGTTCTTGACCGTTTTCATGAGATTCACCCAATTGCTGCTATATAAATTTTTCTTTCACTCTGTGGTGAAATGTGTTCTTGACAGTTTTCATGAGATTCACCCAATTGCTGTTTGATGAAATCCCTTACAAAAGTAAAGTAGAAACGTTAAACCTGTGAACTGAGAGCATCTGTAGTGGGAATGGAGGAGATCATGGATCCAGAGCAGAAATTTGCTGAGACTCGCCTCTCTCCTAAACCATCTGCCTTTAGCTTATCTGTGGGAATGAGGGTCACTGGAGCACACGGACAGGAAGCACACCAAACATTATACAAGTTACTGGAATGAGGTACGAGGTTTGGGTCGGCAAGGGTTAAATAAGAGCCGTAGGTGATGGCCGAAACATCGTGCAACGACCTTCCACTTATCAGTTCCTGTCAAGAGTGCGTGTCGTTGACTCTGGGTGTGTTTAGTGGTTCAGTAGGAGTGTTGATGGCAGGCCAAATGGAGCTGATTTGGTCATTGCTCCATGAACACACACGCACGCACTCATCGATCCTCTTCATCCTGCGCTCTTCCTCAGTCGTCATCCAGTGACTCTGTCTTGATTTCACTGGCCCCGCCTCCCGGATGGGACAGGGCGAGGATGCTGTGATTGACAGCTGCCATCTCCACGGCGAGAGAGATGGGGTCCTGGTGGTCTGCGTGATTGCCGGCGTCATCCTTAAAGAGACGTGTGTGTGAATTAGCAACTGCGTCAGTGAACCATTCGATATCAGGTTACAAAAGTAATCAACTTTTTTTTGTAGTTTTTTATAATGTTAAAATAAACTTTTGCTTTATATGGAAAATTTTAGATTTCATTGTAGGAATTTCATTTTTTTACAACAGCGATCGGTATATCATACTGATTATCACTATTGCATTGGTCAAAATAATATTAATGTTAATATAAATGTTTACACAGTAATATCAAACGAATACATAATATATTTATAAAAATATGTAGTAACATTTTTATTATTATTACATATAAAAATGTATTTTCATTATTAAAAAATATTTCATTTAACACAATGTCTTTTGGGGGATAATTTCTCAGCCCAAACTGATTTGGTACATCATGTGATTAATTAGAAATAATGATCTTTAAAAAAGCATCATATGACCCCTTTAAAATGTTATTTAGATGTAAAATTTTAATTGCTTGACAGCCCATGTGTATATATACACATTTACAATTATTTATAAAATACATTTCTAAAAATATGTTTTTCTAAAAAATTAAAAAATAATACATTTATATATTTTATTTTAATTAATTAATTTTGTTAATTAATTAAATTAACTCTAATTTTACCCCCAGAAATTCACTTATGTTAGTCGTTATTTAGTTTGTGGCCATTTCTACTCTCTCTGACCTTACAACAGGCTGTTTTTCGCTACTGATTTTCCTTTAAGAGTTTTCATGTAACTTCATCTTGAACTTTGATTATTTGTGTGTATAAAGTGTGTGTGTGTGTGTGAGATGCTTTTTATCTATGTTTTCATGTGATACCTGTGTTGGTGAGGTGGGCTCCAGACGGTAGTAACCAAAGGGTCTGTTCACACCTCTCTTTTCAAAATAGGTAACATCACAACCCTGTAATGAAATCACTGAGATCAGCTCTAGCAGTAGTGTTAAATATCCCAAATTCAACAGAATTTGATCTAAAGAAAAAAAAGACAATGGCTTCTTTAGTTCGGACGAGTCATTTGATTCTCTCACCTGCTCGTTGTAGTCGTTCGCGTCGACATCGTCGCTGTTGGAGTGTCCTCCGGGACTCTGCACATCGATCCCGTGACTCTCCAAGATTGTGGCTTCTTGGAAAAAAGACCCTGTCATGAAACATCTGAAACTCTTTAAAAACCACTACCACTACAAACGAACATTAGCAAACGATTTACTACTAGTAACCGAACCTGTTAACTCCTGACTGATTTGAACATGTTTCTTCATCAAGGCAAAGTCCTTACTACCTGTATATATAAATCATATATAAACTAAAACTAAAACCATAATAAAACTGAAATAAAATATACAATTTATACATTTTAAAATAAAAACTTTTTCTGCTCGTTGCCAAAGAAACATTCCACATTTTTTTCACATGTAGTTTTACTTGATGTACTAAAACAAAAACTGAAATAATTAATAAAAAATATAACCTAAAAAAAAAAACTGGTAAAAATGACAAAAACACACAACAAAATAACTATAAAAATAAAATGGAAAATAAAAAATGTTTAAGGAAAATATAAAAATGAAAACACAAAATATTACCAAAAAATACAATAGTATCTCTGATATAAATCAACTAAAACACGGTACCAATATTGGCCCTCCTCTTGATCTCTTTGCGTCGGTTGGCAAACCAGTTGTAGACTTTCAATGATGTGACTCTTTCCAAGTCAGACAACTTCTTTCCTAGGCAGGAAAGATTGAAAGGTCAAAGATGATTGCAAAAATGCAAATACAATATGTAATTTGTAGTGCAATAGATATCCACACAACCACACTCCAGCATTTCTACCTGGTTTCTGAATGACAGCGTTGCAGGCGTTGGCGATTTCTTCTCGTTTGGCTTCATCTGGATATTGATTATCACTGAAATAGCTGCAGAGAGAACAAAGTGTAAACATTGTACAGTTAGCTGGACTAGCCGGTTTTTGACATGATTCGAGCTGAAGAAGTGCATTTTATGATAACAGATTTTATTCCTATTTTGAAATGTTTTTGAGACATAAGATGGGGCCGTTTTCTGTCTCACCTCTCCATCACAGCAAGACATTCCTTCCTCCAGGTGAATCGACTGCCTCGGCGCAGACGAAAGCTTCCAGGGGCGGAGCTTATGGGGGGCGGAGTCTGACGCCACTCCATCTCATCCAGAGATACAGGGGTGGGCCGCATATTTAATGTGGCACCTGAAAATATAAATAATATATACACTACCATTCAAAAGTTTGGGGTCAGTACGTTTTTTTTATGTTTCTGAAAGAAGTCTGTTCTGCTCACCAAGTCTGCGTTTATTTGATCAAAAATACAGTAAAAACAATAATTCTGTGAAATATCATTTAAAATAACTGTTTTCTATTTAAATATACTATAAAATGTCATATATTTGTGATCAAAGCTGAATTTTCAACATCATTACTCCAGTCTTCAGAATCACATGATCTTCAGAAATCATTCTAATGTGCTGATTTGCTGCTCAAGAAACATTTCTGAGTATTTTCAATGTTGAAAACAGTAGCTGCTTTTTGTGTGTAAACCATGATGATAATTTTTTTTTTCAGGATGAACTGAAGAACAGCATTTATTTAAAATAGAAATATAACAGCCTTCACTGTCAGTTTTGATCAATTGAATGCATCCTTACTAGGGCTGTCATCGTTAATGCATTAACGCATGCGATTAATTTTACAATCCTTAACACGTTAAAATAATTTAACGCAATTAACGCAAAATTACTAAAGCACAATTTCTATTCTAACCCTTTAACCCAATTTTGCTTCTCTGCTTGCGATCAGATCATTTTAAGCTGCTAAACTCCGGGAAAGTTTTCAGTCCAATGATCCAGTAAGCGAATGCATTCAAACAATCCGTCCAAAACAGCGCTGATATAAAGGAAACCAGGCTGATTATATCAGAGATTGCAGCAAGAACAGAGACTCGCGTTGCGTTTTAAGTGAATTATTAATTCCAGTGTGTTTCGCTTTAAAACACGAGCTCTGTCATATTCTGTGATTGTCTCTGAAGAGCACGAGCCCTCACACGTCGCGCTTGTGTGAAGTACAGACTGAATGGATTGTCAACACATCCCACCTAGGGGTGTGCGATATTGACAAAAAATTATATCACGATATTTTCTGGGATTTTATCGATAACGATAATTAGACGATATTTTGCTGAATGTGTTATTGTGCTGGTACCTTAAGGATTGCCGAAGACAGCTGACTCCTAATGTTTTTAATATTCTTCATATTCTGTGTGGTGGTCAGTTCACAGCAGTGACAGAAATGA